ACTTCAACAGCCTTTGGTTCAGAGCCACAGTATTGAACCTACAGAGCTTGAATGACACTTTACAAATACGTAGTTACCTTGCCAGGTATTTATAATCCTTGCTCATGATCATGGTATTTGACTAACTTCCAAAAGAACCGAGCAGATACTATCAGAAGAGACCACAGTCTATCCAAAGGGTCCATACCATAGCCCACAGCAAGCTGCTTGACGACTGCACGGAACATTAGTTAAATACACATCCATTGATGGATGAATGAGTAAAGCCAAGAACCCATTTGAATAAGTGGAAAAAGAAAGGGTATAAAAAAAAATTGAATACATTTTTTCATTACAAACTGTTCACTTAGCTCTAACTGCAAGTTGTTTTCAGGAGCCTTGGGGGAAGTGAATCACACTCATTAGGAAAATCAGCCTCCCCTCAATCAATCCAATGATGTAATCTCTACCGTGTAGAAATACTGCTCTGGTCACAATGGCATGGATTTAATTAATTTTGCAGTCATATATTAGGAAAACTTTGTATCTCCTGCAAAATGCAGCTTCCTCCAGGGTGGTACCTGTATAACTGCATGCAGTAGCATGGTGCTGTATGCTCAGCCAACAGAACGCATTTATCCAGGGGGTTTGGGTGGGAACAAGGGAGCTGAGATGTTGAATATTACGAAAAGGACTTCTTCATGGTTCAGGGCACTTTTACATTGACATAGCTGGTACCTGTCAGTTTGTGTGACCTAACACCTCTCTTACTACTGTCACTTGTCAGAAACAAGAAGCAACCATGGCAGGCATCCCTGCAAACATTGTCCCCTATTGCATTCGTCCACCACGACCTCTCAGACACACCTTTGCACTAGCTGCGTTATTTGAGTTGGAGAAGAGAAGCAGCAATTCAGTTTGGCAGGCCTCCCTGTCTGTGTTTCCTGCTCAGCAGGGGGGGTGTCAGTGGTGACACCACCAGCCCACAAACCTATTACCCTGGTAAAACAGCTTACGGCTTTCTTGAACTTGGATGCTGTGGCAAGTGGTGTGATCAGGGCTCATTGTTTCTGCTGACTCGGAACTAAAATCCCTTTTAATCAGTCCCAAACACTGTTCCTCACAGTAGTTTACAATTTCACTGAAAGCTTCCCATCCTGATTATACACAGGCCAGGCTTAGCTGGTGTGATCAGATAGGGGCCGTATCAGCACCAAGCTGGAACAACAGCACCTGTAACTCTCCAGGTTTTTCATAGATCTTGGATGCATACCAGAAATTAAGCTTCTTCTCTGATTTCTGGAAGAGGGACTTGCCAAGGTAAGTCTGTGGCACTGCTAGTGCAGATAAGAGGCTTGAACTATAAAACTACAAACCAAGAGCAGGATCTTCAGACACTGTGTTTAACCAGGCCTGGCTCTCAAAGCCCAGGATCTGCCAGTTTTCCTAGGGGGAGCAGATGAACATTTCCAGCTTGGGAGACACCCCAGGGCGGGGAGGGGTCTTTGCCCTCTCCCCTTTCAGAAACCCTGTGTTATAAGCCTGTGTGCAGTCACGAGATCTTTAAAAGCACAGCAAAAATAGTTTGGAAAGGATCTGCCAGTGAGCTCACCAATCAAAAGGAGGCTAAAAATTGCTATTTGGGTCATTTGATATCACTGCTTACACATAGGTAACCCCTGCAAGCATCCCCCTAGTAGGCAGCCTCTGGGAAGGGAGGAAGAGCCTGATGGTGGAAGCCTGTGGGGATCTGTCCCCAGCTTCAAGGCTGACTCACCAGGCCAGTAACTCGATAAAGAGTTGCACTTGATAACTGGTCACTGCCTGCCGTGGCTAGCTTCCTCTGCTAAAGGAGGGTGCAAAGCAAGCAATTCCTCATTTGACATATCTGCACCTGCCACAAGCAAGGCACACTTGTTCTTGAATGTCTGATGGAAACCGTATTTCTTTCCTGCTCCTCCTCCTGATTTTCTTGTTTGGGCTGGCAGGATTGTAGGGCAGAGCAAATGCTCTCTCTGGAGGGGGGCAAAAGAAGGAAAAACGATGACCAAATAACTCCAGAAGAATGGGAATTGCCTCCAGGGAGCTCCCCTTCACCCTGCTCTCTCATCAGCTGCAAGATATTCAACATCATCCTGCTCTGCAAGCCGCTGAATATTTTATACCATGGCTACAAACGCTCCATTTGTATTCTGTTTCTCTCTTTCGTCATATCTATTATAAACGAGTAGTGTCTGAAAACTCTCCCAGGGAAGATTTGCCTGGATGGCTATGGATATTTTATAGTCAAATTGTGAGAGTAAACCAGCTTTCAAGTTCTGTAGAGGGGGAAAAGGGTAATAAAAGGGTTATTAAAAAAAATAAATAAATGTCGGGGTTTTATACGGCTTCCTTTCACAGTGACAGAGCTTCAGTTGGCTCCACGATGGAGCTGGAGCTGCTATGAGAGACTTGAGTTGAGAGATCTCGTCTTGCTGGCACTGTTTGCCATCAGGAGACATCTGATACACTATGGTGGGCTCAGCAGGGCTGGAATCTGGCTTGGTAGGGCTGGGCTGACACTAGGTGACAGGGGTGAGGGATGGGTCTGCAGGCACTGGGGACAGGTGGATACAGGGGAAGTGATATGGATGTGGCCCAGGGCTGTGGCCACCCCATCTTTACCTTCATATCGACGCTTACGTGATACAGGTAGGAGGCCAGCGTCTGCCTCTTCATTTGGCAGGAGTCCTAGCAAGGGGGGCTGTATCTGAGGGTGACTCTCCTCTTCTCCAACCAGGGACTAAAGAGGAAGGTGGCAATAAGCTGAAGAAGCTTGCAGGCTGCCACTTCCACAGGGGGATCTCAGAGGACTTCAGCCACCAAAGGCATCAAAATTGGCACCATCCAAACAAGCTAAAGGTTTCTAGCTGGAATTCACAAACTTCACACAAGCAAAACAAGCCAGGGAGTATCCAACATGCATTAGAAAGGCAGATCGAGCCATTAGACCTACTGTTGGAACAGAGAGCATCCCAAATGTGGGTTCATTCATGTGTGGATACAAAGGACTGAATTTCAAATTACGGATGGATATATTGTGGGTTTCCTAGACCAAAGCACATCTTCTGTAGCCCAAGAGAAAAGAACTTATCCTCATTTTTTTTCTCTTTCTTTCTGACTCTGTCTAATCAGTCTAATTTTTAAATAATTTATTCTCTCTCAGCTCAGCAGCACCCACCCTGGAAAATCATCACATAGTATTAAAACAGTCTATTTACTTCAGACAAATTTAACAGCCCCTTTGTGCATCCAGGGGGAAATAGGAATCAGGCAGGGACAATAAGGGAAAAATCAATTGATGTAGAAGGCACCTGAAGCTGGGAAATACAAATAGCACTTGGCGGCTTCCCGAGGTCTTTGGCTTAACTGTATATTTTGCTCTGGGCAATTTGTGGATGAAGCAAATGAGTGAAGAGTTTAAAATGTTAAAAGCCAAAAATCAGTCATGAACTGATTCCATAGCATGCCCAGTCCACACTGTCTCTGGACAAACCACGTGAATACTGTCAAACAAAACTCTCTTCCAATACAGACCAAAGCTAAGGGGCTTTTTCCTTCCCAATGAAATGAACTTGAAAATAGGATATACAGCTGTATTCCTAAAGGAAACAAAGCAAGAGGAGGTCTTCTCCCTCCACATCTTTTTTCCTTGTCAGTCTCCCATTTCCATTACTCCCCATCGGTCTGTGCCACCTGTGATTGCAGTCACAGAAACCTGAATCCCTTACAAAAATGCCAGGAGAAAACAGGTGGGCAATAGGCAGCAAAGCCAACTGACCACAAAGGGAAATGGTAGAGAAAAGGGAATTTGCCAGCCAGAGTTAGCAGCTGGACTCTGTCAGCTAAGCAAGCCCAGGAAAACCTGCTGTCAGCCTGTACCAACAGCCTGAGTAACCTGCCAGCATGAAGGCAGCACAGAGCAGCCCATCTGCAGGAGAAATACAGGTATGTGGAAACACCTCTGACCTAGCAGAAAACACCTCTGACTGCAGAAAGCAAACACGGGCCCTCTTAGCAAAGACAGAGATGGAGACCTGCTCAGTGAACCGCAATCCATCCCTTACCGCTGGCACCCACGGGGTCAGGGTTTCAGCCTAGCCCCCACTGAGACAAGAAGATTTTACAGCTTAAACTCTCTGCTCAGCCACACATGCACAGGGACGTGATGGCCGGACTCGGGAGTGTGCTCCCTCCCAATGCCATCCACGATGCTGAGGCAGAGAGCTGTTAATTAACCCCGTTTATTGAAGGGCGGACACATTCCTGCCTGGGCCCTGATTTTTCAGTCAGGCTCCAGTCCAGCAGGTGATTAATAACCCAGCGTGCTGTGGGAAGAGTGCATCTATTATTCAAATTAATGAAATTATAATCAAGAGGTGACGAATTAGCAATTGCTCCTTGACTGGATATGGAAACTCATTAGTGTGCCAGGCACTTCTGTGGCGCTCGCTGCGCTCGTAGGCTTACGGTTGGAGAGGAAGGAGCCAGGCAGAGCAGGGAGCCCCTGGGCACAGCTTTGCCCTGGCACGCACATCCTGACCATTCCAAAATAGCTGCGGCCACCACAGAGCCCTCCAGTCCCATAGAGTGCCTCCACCTCCATCTCCTCTCCGACACCCTATTGTCTAGAGCTGTGGTCATGTGAGGGAGAAGCACATGAATGCAGCTGCAATGCTCTTTTTTTGTGGAGGGTAGGGGGGGGCCTGTGCCAGAGAAGGCACGAACCAGAGGGGAAGGCGTGATGGCTGACTTCAGGAAACCGTCCCGAGGACAGGCGGCAGCAGCCACACAATCCTAGCACTGCTAAGCTGTGGGTAAGGGACAATCATCTGAAGACCATCCTGCTGCTTTGAGCACTGGAGTGAGACTCCCACCCACCCAAATTGCTGGCTGCAGTCGTGGCTGGTGGAGCTGAGGCTGGAGGTCTTCCCTGACGCCCTGATCCAGGCTGGGGCTACCCACCCCCAGACGGTACTCACCGATGTGCTTGCCGTACATGTGGTAGTAGAAGGAGACACAGTAGTACTTGGCCGTAATGTTGTAGAGGGGGCTGATCAGCCGGGCTTTGTCTCCCGTCACCCGGGGCCGAGATGCCTCGATGAACATGTAATAACCTACACAAGGAGAGGGAAAGGTGGGGAAAGGCAGCACGCACGGCATCTCCTGCTCTGCAAGTGAGGGCATGCTGGAGGCTGGGAGACCACTCCTCCTCCAAGAGACATGGCCTTGCTCTTCCCATTCAATTGTGATCCCAGCCAGAAATATTCCTAGAATATCTGCAGGTGTTCTCCCTGATGGGATTGGCAGACCCCATGATAATGCATGCAGCTGATGAGTCCCCGAACATGCATGCACACCTCTGTTTGGGGGCAAAATGAGCCTTGCTCCTGCAGCACAAGGAGCCCCAGAGCTGGCTGGCAAGAAGGAAAGCAGAAAGGGGATGGTGAAACCAACCCAGCCTAATTTCTCGGCCTCAAGCAGAAGGAGAGAGCATTCAATACATTTGGCCTAAACAACGTTGTTATCTAAAGAGAACAATACCAAAGTAGTTGCTAACAACCCATGGAGGAATAGATTAGCTACTTGATTTGTTGGCATCATTTTCAATGCTGGATCAGGCTGGCATACTGAACGCTAACAGGAAAAGCCATTTTCTTAGCTGGCCACTGGATGTTTCCCTTTTATTATTTTTTTTTTCTGAGTTCAGAGAGTTGTGCTTGCATACAAATGTACTTTCCTTATTACAAAAAGGGAAAAGTAATATCCAGCTAAATCTGGAGTGTGTACCCCATGCGCAGCTCATGTGAGCAGTACGTAACACCATTCTCCTCCAGCCAGGGGTGATGCACCTGGTGAGTGTCACCTCCCCCAGCCTCATTCCCCGTGCTGCTGTTTAATACCGAGGAGATCTGGTTGCCCCACTGAAGCCTTCTTTGAGGAAACAGCTGTCTAAAACCAGCAGGGTGATTTCTAGGTGTTAGAAACATTCTCCTAGTTGTTTATCCTTTTTTGACTTCAAAACAAGCATCAGACGGGACAAGGACATTAGGCAGTAGGCAATTAGCTAGTAACAAGAACTAATGCTCACACTATTCCCTTAAACAAAGTCGTGGGCGTTTTAATTGTGTGTTTAGTGCCAATCAGTAACATGCAAATTAACCGCCTGCTCCCTGCACCCTGTGCGGAGGAGAAGCGTGTGTGCGGAAAGCAGATCAGTGCTCCGCCGGCTCCCAGAGCCTCAGGACTCCCGACGAGCAGTGGTGTGTGCCTCGCCTCCACAGCCGAGCCAGAAGAAACCCAGAAGTGTGCCTACCCTCCGGCGTACCGCTGATGTCCGTGGGGGGCCCCGTGTTGACGGTGCGCTTGGGGTTCTGGGTCAGGGCGTTCTGCCGCGTCCAGTCGAAGTTGTCCATCTTGTCCTGCACGAAGCCACAGATCTTCTCGTCCTCGAAGCGGCAGGTGTTATCTGCAGGGAAGGACAGGGGATGGTCAGCTGCAGCTTCTCAAACCTCCTTCTGAGGCTGCCTGGCTGCTTGAGGAGGGCACATGCTGCTGCTGTGGCACCGCTGCGGCTCTGTGTGGAGCCGAGGACAGATGGGCAGCCCCCGGCCCCAGGAGGAGGCTGGAAAGGAAAATTTCTGTGATTAGTGTGATTATGGAAGGGTTAATCCAGGCTGATGGATGCAATGATCTGGCAAAACAGAGTAAGGCTAATAGGACTAAAGAGAAAGAGAGGTTCTGCTAGGAGGTCTCAGGGAGCAGACGTAGAGGAGGGCAAAAATGGTAAGAGGAGCACAGAAGGCAAACAGGCCACAAGGGCTTTTAAACCAGAACAACTTGATGGTAGAATAATTTCCCCAGGAGAGAGGAGAAAGTGCGAGATGATGACCCCCACTTTGGTCTATGTATTAAACTAAACTATGGCACACATGAAAAAATCAGCTGTAGAGAAGAGGTCAGCTCAGCGCTACAAACGTGTCATTTAGCTACAGCACATTCAATTTATACCAGCTAAGAGACACATTTGCTATTGCACCTTATGCTGGTTCACCTAACAAAGTAAGCTATGCAGGCAAAGGGTTTTTATGTAGGATCAAACACCCGTGCAAAAGGGCTTCCTTCTACTGCTACCACAAGATGGTCACACCTTATGGCAATATTATAAGGCAGGTGAAAAACCTGGGACATAGGCATGACCCAATACAGACTTAAAAAGAACGGTGTGAATTGGGCTTGACCAGACTGAAGATGGTCTTTTGTCTGCCCTTTGTGGTGAAAAGGTACTTCCTGAGCCACAAAACCAAAGGCAAAGGACAAGCCTTGCACCGCTAATATGGTTGGAGAAGGATAGGGAAAACAAGCAGAAAAGAAAGAGAAAATAAGTCCAAGATTGGTTATGAAAATTGCTCTGTGTTTTTGAAAGACCCATGGGCAGAAATCAGAATTGGGGAATGAGCTGAGAGTGGGATCTCAGAGCTTGTAAGTGGTACAGACACAGCAAGCACAGATCTCTATCTTCTGCCTTTATTTTAGAGCCAAGAGTTTGTGCTGTGAAACTGGAAGATAAGGTAACTAAAACCCATGAAAGAACACGCAGAAATGAAAAACATGTTCTTTCTGAGGACTTCAGATTTGTTAGAAACCTCATCCACGGCATGATGATGCGTGATTCAACTCTTTGGGGTTTACCCCCACCCTGTTCCTGCTGTCATGGCCAGATGAAGAGAAGCCTGAATGCCTGCCTGGGCTCCTGCATTCCTCCATCCTCAGGTGTTGTTTGTTTTGGTTCCTAAATAGGATGCCTCAGGCTTTCTGTCTGAGCTTGGGTGGCTCTAGCAGGACTTGTAGGACAGAGCAGGGTCAGCAATCTATGTGCTGGGTGCCAATGATGGGATGGGGAAGGGAAGTTTCCTCCAAGACCAGGGTGAAAAGCTTGAGACATGGTATGTTTTGTTGGTGGAGCTTCTCATACCTACTATGCACCCCGAAAACTGCCTTCTTGTACCAGAGAGAAGAGACCAGCCATGAAATGAACAGCACCTTGACTCTGAGATGCTACACCTCCCAGCTCCTACCTCACAGCTAAAGCCCCTCTGATTTGTGAAAGAAAACAACTGTCTGCCACAGACATCAACAACTTGCACACCCCTGTGGCAGGAACCGAGGGGCTCTGTGCTCTGTCGTTCTGGCCTAGCTCTCCCTCCAAAGCAGTCAGAAAAGAGGAGGCAGTGTCCTCCCATGGCCCATGAAGTGGTTGGACACTGCTGCAAACCAAGGGCTCGGTTCATGGATCGGGGCAGCTGGTTTTTCTTCTAGCTCAGCAGGAAACACCGCTCCTGCGAGCTGAGCACAGCCATAGGGAGCTTGGCTGGGCTGTCCACTTAACTGCTGATTAACCCTGGCTAAGTGCTTTCCGTTCAATCTGCTCATTTCTAATTAGCATCCTAATCCAAATTAGCCGCTGCTCCACAGTGCAGTGCCGGGCGCCCGGGGCCACGTGGCGGATGGAGCTGCAGGCAGGATCGGATGGGGCAGATGCCTGCAGGGGCTGAAGCCCAGCAATAAAACAGGCCAGAGGGGCTCTATCATCCCCAGCACAAGGAGAAGGAGGGGGAAAAGGGTGAGAAAACAGCTTCTAAGGGTACTTCCCCAGCCGTCGTGGCTGAGAGGAGGGCACCCATGGCTGTAAGAGGAACCCGCTGGTCCTCAGAGGAGGCACTGGAGCCCACAAGCTTTCTGATATTGCTGGTGTAGTCTAGCACCCCTGGCTTGTCTTTCTCAGACTGAAAACAAATATTCTGTAGCTCCAACTTATAGGATGCTGGCTTCAGTCAGAAGACGAGTTTTCTCTTACAATGGCATTGCTCGACACAGCAGAATCTACCTTGACTGTCCTTTCGCAATCAAAGGTTGTGGGACAGGGAGGGTTTGCACCTCTGCCCCTGTCGTGCTTGTGGACCTTCAGAGGAGGTAGGTAACATCTTTCCCCAGCACAAAATTCCCTTAACAGGGAATATCAGATAGAAATCAGAGCTGAAATATGTAACACAGAGGCCAGACCAGCAACTGACTGAGAGGGAGCAAACCCACAAAGAAAAAAAGCAGAGAAACCAAAGGAGAAGGAGCCTAGGGAGAAAGCCCAAGTTCAGGTGGAGATCTGAGAGAAGGTGGTCAAAAGACTCAGCTTGGGAAGAGAGGAAAAAAACAGATCTCTGCAAGACAAAAGGACAGTGTTCTTGGCTTACAAGTGCCAGGTGATGGCCTGTTGTATAAGAAGTCCCACACACCCATGGAAAGAGGTCTTGAAAGCCTGAAGATGGTAGGAAGAGGCTGCACTTACTGCTGCATGTGGGACACCTGCCACAGGACAAGGCATAGTGTGCAATGGACTCCTAGCTCCTTGAATGCCAAAACAGGGCCCTGACTCCATCCTCTCCTCTCGCTCAGATGCAGAAATTTCCAAAAGGCAATGCTTCCAGCAGAGATCACAAAGGGGAGGAGGACCCTGGGCACCACAGCAAGATCAGGCTTACTTGCAACACCTTCTGCTGTGGGGGAGTTTAACTACAGCATGTTGCCCCTGCTTGGCTTGGGATCTCAAGGCACTTTGCAGCAACTAATGAACAAGGCTTCTCAATATCTTTATATATCTCTTGCATTACACGTGGGGAAACAGAAGCACAAAAATATAGGCAGACACATTTAAGGTCACAGCAGGCAGTTCTAAAGCTGGAAACAGAACCCAGGTGTTCTGACTCCTGGTCCTTTGGTTTAAAACAAACCATGGGAAGGCAGAAGCTCTGCTGTTTCTCCAGGCTAGAAGTGGAGATGCCCAGAATGACTTGGATATGTTCGGTGTGGTTTGGGACACCACCAGTATGTCACCTCTGGATGGTTATCAGCAATGCTGACTGGGAGAAAACTGGCAGATCCATCTGAAAAGTAAACCTTTCAATGACCCACTGTGTCTCAGAGGCCACAGCAGTGATCTAACTGCTGACCTCGTCTGTGTGAAGCAAATCTTCTTTCAGGCTCACACCATCTGCCAGGGATCCTGGCTCAGCACTGTGGAGCAAAGGAACCTTCCTGTTTAAAAATTAAACAGGGGCTTTAAATATTGAACACAGAAGTTGTTCTCTGGATTGTTAGAGGCGAGGTGGAAGTAGCAAGGGAGCTGGTTCCTCAAAGGCTGGAGTTAGTGCTGTCTTCACCAAACAGATTTCCTTGGCAGGCTTTGCAGTGGCAGCAGCTCAAAGTGCAGAGCTGTTTGCTCCTGGTTACAGGCACCTCCCTGCATCCCCAAGGGAGAGACCCTCAGCCGTGGCTATTAGCATTTCTCGTTGCTTTACCTTCTTGAGAAACATAATGGAGGTTTTCATTTCAAGTCCTTAGGGAGAAGCCATTCCTGGCCCTGAAATTCTGACTGCCAGATGAATGCATACAAAAAATAATAATATGATCCTAGCTGCAAACTATGGGTGAATAGCAGATGGAAGCTCATTCGAATAAAATTGCTTTCATCATTTAGCTGTGCTCTGACGGCTGAAACTGGCTTGGAGCACAAGGGACCATGATCCGAGCCTCAGCTCTGCTACAGACCCACAGTGTGACCCACAGCCCATCACTGGAGATCACTTTCCCAACTAGAATATGAAGACAATGCAAACTGGATTGTGACCTCAAAGTACTCTGGGATTTAAGAAGCAGCATGTAACAAAATTTTCCTTGATAAGTTTCTAAAGCATTTATAACCAGTAATGGAAGAAAGCTTCACAATACAATAGCTGTTTGGGTCACACTAGAACACTATGTGCTTTAATATTCCCATCTACCACACTGGGATAATATTGCCTGTACAATCCCATTTGCCATTGTGATACAAGGAACTGGTGGCACTGCAGTGTTTGGGTTAGAAAGTGAAGGCTATATCCAAATGAAATTGCAGGGTCAAAGTAAGAAGGGCAGAACAGATTCTCCAGCACTGGAATTTAGACATGATATTAAAGATATTAAAGATATAGTAAAGACAAAACCTTAGAAATATGATAACTCTAATAGATTTTTTTTTTTTTAGATAAATTCTGGTTTCTAGAACCAGACGAACTGTTTTTTAAGAGTTATTCAGTCTTACTGCTAACCTTTAAGTAAGTAAAATTTTCAGTGTCTTTTGTTCACTCCCTCTGCTTTTAGATTGCTTCTGTTTTATAACCCTAGCACCTGGCTCTGTAACCATGGCACATGCATGCCTGCCCCAGTGCCATTAACATCTTATTAGGCTGGGAGAGAAAATGCATGAAGAAATAATTGTATTAAGTGACTCTCAGAGTTTGTAAATTAATCACCATTGTGCATGCCCTTGGATCAGGCTGCCAGAGGCATTAATCATCCAATCTTTGCCTTTCACTTGAGAGCTCTCAATGTTTGCTCCCAGAATTTGGCTGGGAAGCCTAGTGTGAGGATACCTTTGCAATCCCCTCCCAACGCCTTCCCCTGGGGCTGGTGGTAGGAAGGGAAGTAGGGGGAAAAAGTGGCAGTAGCAAGGCTTTCCATGATGCTGAGCTGAGAGGCTGGCAACTGGGCTGTAGCCCAGAGACAGAGCTAAGAGGCTTTGCACTCATATTTGCAATGGCAGCAGGTCTGAAAGGAAGGGGCATCTCTGAAAGCAAGTGTGCTGGCTGCAGTTTTAAGGCAGTCAATCTCAAGGTGTGAACTCAGAGGCAAGACCCTAATGACTGGCCCAGCAGTCCTGATGTTCAGCACAGGCTGGATAACATATCGAGGAAAAACCTTAAGTGCTGGGTTTACTGCATGAAAACAAAAGCGTAGATGAGTACTCCGTTGCCATACACAAATTTCACGTAACATTCTTGTCTCAGTCAAGCTGCCAAAGCAATCCCAGATGAGCAGTCTGAAGGCTCAGCTTACAAAGACCCCAAGGAGATTGACACAATTAGACCAAAGTTGCCCTGGCATTACCAGTGATACATGCAGTGTAAAAGCAAGTGGCAAAAGGCCAGATTTTGTCACTTTGTCCAGTGAGCCAGGATGCTCACCTACTCCAGCAAGTGCCAAAGGACACATTCTGGAGTGGGTCCCTGGCAATACGTTCAGAGTTTCCAAGTGAGTTCCCTCTGGAGAACGTTAGAGGAGGATCAGAAAGTGGGGAAAAGCAAAGAAAAGGGAACCAGGGACTACAGTTACAAATTCCATCTGTCTCTGTGAGAAGCTCCTGCTCTCAGGTAAGGTATGATGCATCAAATCATCCTCAGAGAGTGAACAAATGCCTCATGGCTGCCTTAACAAGATAATCCTGCTCCCAATTTCCTTGTAATTACTGTCCAGTCCCACCTCCTCCTGCCCACTGGTATTCTGCAGTGCAGCATAACATTTGCCTGCCTATACACAGCCTACTACCTAAGATTACTGAATGCTGTTTCAGCTTCTTTTAATTTTTACTCAGCAGCTGGAAATGAAAAAAAAAAAAAAGAAAGAAAAAATTAAAAAAAAAAAGAACATTTACATGGAATGAGCTCTGTGGACCACCAGCAAGGAATCTGCCCATCTCTGCCCAAGAATTTTGCCTGGTCTTATATCCAGCAATCAAAGCACAGGAACTTTGTTTCATCCCCTGGAGATCACTCCACCACTACTTACAGCATGCTAGAAATCCTCTTTTATGCTCAACAGAAACCATCGTGTTCTTGTTAAAGACCACCATTCGGAGATGTTGTGTATTTTGCTCTCAAAATCAATGGGAGCTCTTGGTGCTCACTAAGGATGGGCCTGCATCTAAATGTCAGGCTGCCTTGGCAGGAATGACTGGAAGGTAAATGAGCAAGTAAACAGAGATGACACTGGAGGGGAAGAAGATAGGAACCAGGCTCAAAGAGTTTGCAAGAGGAACCAGATCTGAGCTGGAGACTGCTCCATAGCAGCCTGCAGAGGTGTCAAGCAGTACCCTTTCCAATCAAGAAGAACATGGGGGTTATAGACATTAAATGCAGACATTTTGGAGGACGTAGAATAATCTGCTTACTGGATGCAGACTGCTAATACTAGGGGGAAGGTGGGTTCCAATTCACAGCCTACCCAGTTACAGAGATACCAAGTGTAAATGGGAAGTACGTCTCTGGCATATGCCTTTGCAATAACTCAAGGTACCAAAAAAAAAAAAAAAAAAAGCCATTACTTATTGGAAGCATTATTACTGTACGAAATTTCATGCTGTTTTTTTTGGGGAAAAATATTTTTGCAAAGTCAGTGCTGTTTTCCAGCTTGCCTGATCTGCTGGAGCACTTGACTAACATGCATTACATTCAGAACATAAATACAAAGGTCTTGTTGCTTACCTGTTGGGTTGGGATAGCTGATTGCTGGAAAAGAAAATGGAAAAACAGCAAGTCACAACAGCTTGTACTCCCTCAAATCACAAATTACAATCAAAGCCTGAAAATAAAACAAGCACATCAAGAAAGGTCATAGATGTACAAATCTCCTAACAGCACCCCTGCAAAACAGCAGTGCTTGGTGTCTGCCTTGGCGATGGAACAAGCTGCTGGCTCACTGATTCAAGCAGCAACAAATCCGAAGAAGAAAATCCCACCTAAGTGGTGAACATGGGACTGCACAGGGGAACTGTTCTGGTATCCAAGCAGTTTCTTTCTGGAGCACCCACTGGCAGCTAAAGCTTAGTATCTGTGAGGGACATCAAAGTAGTTTGAGACACTGTGGAAGTCTGAAACAAGTATCTTAGAGATACTTGATGTGGTATGACTCCCCAGGACAAGAGGGTTCTGTGAAATCAGGCAAGCATAGCAGGAAGGGGCTCTACACTTTCTGCTAAAATACAGGTCCAGTCTCCTGAGGGAAATCAAGACATCACAAGGTTGTGAGAATGCAGTGAGAGAAGGTAGCTGTTGGGATAATGGAGAAAAAAAGCATGGTCACTGTCTATCAACGTGATGATCTGAGGTTCAGGGTGTTGGACAGAGCTACAGGATTACTAGTTGCTAGTTAGGAAAGGACCTGAATTCTTTCAGATCTGGAAAGAAAGAAGCCTCTTGAAATCCTCTTGCTTTTATGGGCATGTGGCTAATATGTAGCATCCACTGGCTATCCTCTAAAATACACCACTGAGCTACAGGAGACTGCAGGACAGCCTGACTGGGGATTGGGGTTTTGGTGCTCTCCTGCTCACAGTGCAGAGCATTTGTTGGAGCCACTGAGTGAAGAATAAGTAGAGATTGATCCTCAGAGGTCTCTATCTGGTTCTCTGCATTGATGGCAGCAGCCAAAACGTGACATAGTGTGGCTGCACCATGCCATCAAACCTTTATACAGCACACAGATCCACCTGAGGGTCACAGGAGACAACGTGTACACATGCCCATGTCCCTAGGCCTGACCCACTGCCAGAGGCTCGGGCCTGATCTCGTAGCCAGGGCCGAGGAGGAGACACCTACGTTCCATGTACCGGATGATGCGGGCAGCCATGTCCCCAGCCCCAAAGCTGGTTATGGGCGTCAGGCGAACTTCATAGCTCTGAGGCACTTTCAGGTTGGGCAAGATGTGCTCCAGCAGCAGGCCCTTCTCCATCTTCTGCACAGGAATGAAGGTTTGGATGGTGCTTCTCTGAGCCAGCTGCATTGAAAGAGAACACACGGTGTCACGATGATGCTGAAATTAAAAACCTGAGAGGTTCTATTCAGTGATCCTCTGCAGTCATGAACAGGCTCCCTCTTTCTCCAAAGCCCATTGAGGAAGGAGACGAGCCATGCTAGCTGAACCTTACTAGCTGAACAGTGTTCGGTGTACAAAGGCAGCAAGGATGTTTCAAGAAAACCATGGGAAAAATATCCTTGTCAAAATCACCACCACAGAAAATGATGAATTATGTGTCAGCAACACTTCCCTGCTACAGTCATGCTTGCTTGGCGGGGGAAGGACAAGAACAAAGATTGCATTGTAAAGATACAGTTCCCTGCCTGCTGTTGTGCAGTGCCTAGATCCCTGTGGCAAGATTTGGTCCTGCTGTGTTGTTCAGGAACTGGTCCTGGTAATAAGACCTCTGGTAGGGCTTTCCATGGCCCTATGTTCACTTCCCAGTCACTCAGCCTTCCACTGATGTATCCTCTAGGCTGACAGGTTTAATTGCCAAGGCATTTCTTCTGATAGCTGGGCCCAGGGATCATCATTAAGTCTGCAGTTATGGGACTGAAGCAGGGTTGCAGGGAGGAAGGTTTACAGCAAATCCATTAGTTAGGAGTGTGAGGCAAGACTATGGAGCGAGGGCATGGCAGGGGTGGAGGCCATCAGCAAGGCAGGGCAGGGGAGGGATACAGGCAGAGCACCTGGGAACAGCAAGCACGTGCAATCCCTCCTCTGCTTGCCTCCAGCCCTATCATATGTGACTCTGAGTTCAAAATGAGAAGCAATGACTGCCTCTGAAGCGCTCACAGTGCCAGAGCCCTATTCTTTTCCATCATGGTCAGGACCCAAGACCTCACTTGAACTGGGTGGATGGAGCTCCCAAGCAAAGGGCAGGCCTGGAACAGACCCTGCCATGGTACTCCAGGTACTCCTGTGGTTGCCCATGGTTCTTACAGTGAACAGCAGCTTTGTAGCTGCCTTGAACAGATCAGGGTGCAAGTTGCTTGAGGAACTGCTCTTGGCACCCTCCTCCCCTGACAAAAGGGCCAGAGAACTGGGAACTGCTCCGGTGCCTTCCCCCATCACCATCCCTCCCTGGGATCAGTCCCAGTGGGCAGGAGCAGGGCAGTGCCTCAGGGAACCAAGCAAGAACTTGGCACCGGGATACTGTCAGGATCCATTCGCATCAACAACGCCCCATCTGCACGCACGCAGGCTGGGTGCTGATCCAACTGGCATGCCTACCGCCCAGCCCTTCCATCTGCCAGCCCGCGGCACTGCTGCTCTGCCAAGCGAGAGTGGAGCTGGCTCTTGGCAGCTCCGATCTCACCTGGGATCGGTAGCACCAGATCCCCAATTACCTGGGAGGAGAAGAGGGGACACAAGCCAGAAGTAGGGGTCTGGAGCAGTATAGCATGGGGCCCTGACATGGGGCTTTTGGGGTGCAGAGCAGGACCAGGGGGCTGGCAGCAGCTCCTCCTTGCAGACTGCCTCGAGGCCTGGGCGCTGGGAAGGCAGCCCGCAAATAGGAGGGGGTCAGGAGCCATTTCCCTCGTCTAGACATAACCTTTAGAAGAGAAACAAAATGGAGAATCGAAGAGAAGCCTGAGGGTGAGGTTCAGACAGTGCAAATTCCACCTCAGCTGGGAGTTATGTGGAATTTGGGTATCTGAAGCCTCTGGGAGCAAAGTGAAATCACGTACTCTCCCACATCACCTAATCCAGGACACTGAGAAATCAGCCCCCAGTCTGGACAGCAGAGCTCTAGGTTCCCCAGTGAAGTCTATCTGCAGGGACACGTGGGTTTAATCAAATAAATACCTGGCTGCCACATAGGTTTGGCTGTAAATCAGAAAAGAAAAACTGCACCTGTGTCCCCATGGGTCGCAACTGTCCTGCTCCCAGGTGAGACTTGTATCTCCAGGCAATGGGCAAGGCACAGCTGGCGTACTGGACATACCTCCTCCAGCAGCATAGGAAAAAAGTTTTGCGAAGGCAGAGAGAGGGAACAGGCTGGAGCTCAGCATGGTTTAAAAGACATGAAATCAGTGCAAGAGAGAACAAAGCTCCAGCCAGCCACTCGCCCTGTGTGCGCAGAGCTGGTGTGGGCTTGCAGTGACTAGTACACGTCCAGTACAGAGCAACATTAGGGTCAAAGACTGGCTCTGCCTCCCCCTCCCCAAACACCCTTTGCCTCCCTGACTGCCAGCAGCAGGTCTTTGCAGAGCTGCATGCATCAGCCCAGCTGGAACCCGTTTTCAATCCTTTCCTCCCATCTCCCACTGCTGCTCTTCTACCATGCTGCCCTGGTATCTTCTTCCCTCCATCCCCTCTGCAGCCTCTTTCCTCCTTCTGGTCACGCTGGCCCAGTGCTCCAACTTAATACTGCTGTGGTGCAGTTAATAAAGCGGAGGCAGGCACAGAGGATGGTGAAACGCTGGCCACCTTATTAGAGATGCTGAAGCCTCTGTGGAGGATCTCACGCACCAAGCTCATTCATCACCAGGCTCAGGATGCTGCCAGCAGGGCCAGAACAAGAGCACAGCGCAACGCACAGCCTCATTTCTGCCTTCACCTCCTTCCATTTCAAATAATGAGAGGGAGGGGATGGGAAGAGAAAAAACAAACAAACCCACACTGTTTCCACCAGCTGGCTGCAAATATCACACAGGATGCAGAGGTGGGAATGCTCTTGCAGCACGGGTTTGCTAGAAACACCTTACAAAAGACAAAATCAGCCCCAGGTGGGGCATATGTATTCACACAAACAGTATGCAAGCTGTCCCTTTCCCTGTCACTTGTAAGCAATATTGGCAACCAAGGGAGAGCACGCACAAACACTCACATATGTATTTAATGCCTCAAGCCTCCCAGAACAGCAGACTAGGTCTGCCCGTTCTCATTCCTCACCATCACACCCTGTCGGCAGTCCTTGTCTACCCAGTCCCTGACTTATCCTGTGAACTGGTTTGTCATCCACAGAGAGGGCTTGGCCAGCTGAGCCAGCTCATGGACCAGGAACACACAGCAAGAGCCTCAGAGAGAAAAGCGAGGTGCCACACTACCTCTGCCACCACTTTGTGTTCCCAGCTGGGACACCGTCTCAGCAGAAAGGTCCAAAGTACGACACCACCACGCCTAGGCTTTCTGTTTATTACAGGAACAAAGAATGTCCTTTTCAGACTGAATGACATTTAAGCCAGGTACATAACAGCTAGCAGATATAATAAAGCCTAGGCATATTAGCAAACACATCCATCAATAGTTAATGTTGCACTGCTGCCCGGCAAGCCACACGAGGGATTCACAAGAGCACGGTCACCCATGTGTGCTGGGACTCGGTGCGACCCGAGCAGCCATGCACGTGCCCCCACAGCCTGCTGCACTCCAAGCAGCTGCACGCTTGTTTAGGGGAGAAACTGAAATCAGAAAGGAAACCTGTTTCAGCATTGGGCTCCGGGGAATCGTTGCAAACACCAGCTAGAAAAATGTACACTAAAATCGTGCAGATTCCCCAGCAAGCAGATCAGAGCAAAGGAACCGCTTGGCAGGCACCCTGCTTCCCAGCACTCCACTCCTGCTGATCTCTCCTTATTTGTCCCCGCAACAACCTTGCTCAGCACACGAGCTCTGCTCTCCAGCACCCTCTCTCAAAATCCTTTCTCCACGCCCTCACCCTCTCTCCCTTCTTTCCTCTGCCTCCTTCCAGTTCCCCTGGGTGCTCCTTCGTTCAGCACCAACCAGAAGGGGTGGCCGCCTGCACAGTGGTGCTCTCACCCCCAGCTAACTGCAGGCATGGGGAGCTGGGGAAACTCCTGGCTCCCATCCCCAGCCATGTGGGCTGAAGACAGAGGAGATGGACACAAAAGTGGGCTGGGGTGACCCGGCAGTCTCACACCAGCTCTTATTTCACTCCCTGTGCATTTCCACAGCACCTCACCAGGAACAATCACACCACTGGTTTTAACACGATGACACTAGCAGCACTTGTGGTCTTCAAGTGGTGACAGCCAGGAAAGATGCTCCCAGACACCCTGCCTTGGGACTGGAAGGGATTGAGCTTTTTTATGGTGCTGGTGGCAACTCCTGAGACGAATGCAGGACTCTGCAATGCAAAGCACCATGCTACTACAGCAGACATGCCTTGCCCTCTATTTCTGCACCAATTGCACCTCCAGAGCTACAGGATCCCTTGCAGAGAGGTATCTTCAAAGAGTTTAGATGCCACAGGCTTCTCAAGATTGGAGAAAAAAAAAAGAGAAAAAAAAAAAAGGAAAAGGTGATGACAGGATTTATGATTACAGTGTCCAAGACTGAGCAAATTGCCCAAAGGCCAGACCCGCAGGTGCCCCATTTGCCTTGAAATGAACAGCAGTTGGGCTGGGACAATGAGCAGAGTTGTCCCCACACAGAGCTTCTCGCATTAAGGTATTTAATCCTCCAGTGGCTACTGCTAAAGAAGGAGAGTCCAGGAGATTAGTTCCATGGGTGAAAATAATATCATAGCAAATTCCTTGGGAAAAGAGAAATTAAAAATGTTCAAAAAACAGAGGCATGAGGAAGGTGGAGACAAGACAACTACTGGACATGAAGCTGCAGGATTTTCCACTTCTCTCCCACTTCTTCCCATTCACTCTCTGGCACATGGCAGTGGATTGAGAGTCTGGTCCTTGATATCGCCTTGGCACCACAGGACAGAGCAGAGGAAGATGGGTTTTCCTTGATGTTACATTTGGACACTATGGATTTGATTCTTGCTCTCCGTGTTTAGGCAGAGGGATAAAACCCCTCTGCACTGGCAACATCCTCCCAACTTCCAGGAGTTTAGGAAAGGGAGCAGCATGGCCACCTTCAGGGATGCAGCAGGGGAGGTACAGTGCTAGCTCAGAGTCCATCACAGGGGACTTCTGTTCACTTGTTTTATGAACATATCACATCCCATCTTAAAAGCCATTCCCGTTTGGCCTGCTGCTCCTGCTGGATGGCTGTTC